TAGCTGGTTTCGAAAGGGCTCTTGGATGCGGAACGTGAGCTTTTCGACGAGGGCTGCCGTTCTGGAAAAAGCACGCATGGCTTCGGACGTCGTGCTCGGTTTCGAACACGCGCCCTGGCCTCGGAAAGGGCGCCCTTGGTGGCGGACCCCCTGCTGCGGGGGCCCATCTTTCTGTCCGAGGATCGCGCTTGGCGCTTGGCTTAGCAGCGTTTCTGCACCAAGGGGACCCGTCCGCTCGGGGGGGAGGTTCTCCTCCTCCTCCTCCTCCTCCTCCTCCTCCTCCTCCTCCTCCTCTCTCCTCCCCCTCCCTCCTCCTCCTCCTCCTCCTCCTCCTCCTCCTCCTCCTCCTCTCCTCTTCCTCGCCCAATCCTCCTCCTCCTCCTCCTCCTCCTCTCCTCCTCCTCTCCTCCTCCCTCCTCCCTCCTCCTCCTCCTCCTCCTCCTCCCCCTCCTCCTCCTCCTCCTCCTCCTCCTCCTCCTCCTCCTCCTCCTCCTCCTCCTCCTCCTCCTCCTCCTCCTCCTCCTCCTCCTCCTCCTCCTCCTCCTCCTCCTCCTCCTCCTCCTCCTCCTCCTCCTCCTCCTCCTCCCCGTGGGCTCTGGGGTGGGCGCGGGGCATGCCCTGGAGCACGCGTGCCGGCCGCGCAGGCCGAGGCGGCGGCCGTGCCGGCGAAGGATGCCGCTGCTCGGCGGGGGCGCCGGCGGGGCTCCTGCGCAGGGGCAGCCCCGGGCGTGCGGTGTGCAGCTCGGAGTCGGCAGAAATCTCGACCCTGTTCCTGGAGGTCGGCGCGACCCCCGCCGACCTCCAGGACTCAACGGTGCCCCCTGTCAATGGCGACGTGGCCATAGCCCAGCACCTCGACGAGCGGCCCCCTACGCGGGCTCCTGCCGGGCGCGAGGCGGTGGATCCGTCGTCGTGGGACAGGCGATGGCTTGCCGGTTGCTCATCCTGGGTAGTTTTCTGACGGCCCCCGGGGGGCTGGCAAGGGCCCCAAGAGGCAGGCCACAGCGGAGCAGCTCCCGTCGTGGTGCTCTTTCGCAGCACCAGCAGGCCTGGGACTGCTTCCTCCTGGGCATGCGAAGCACATCCGGCCGAACCCAGCAAGCCGCCCTGAGATCCGACGTTGCAACAAAAAACAACACCGCAGGAAATCGCGACCAGAGCGCCAGACCCCATCCGTCTGCGCCGCTTTTCGAGCTGGATCAATATGTGAGGGTACTCGGCCCGAAATTGAGCGAAAACGCCACTTGTGACAAACTTGTACCGCCAAGATCTCAGGGAGAAGAGAAGAACCCAGACCTCCGAGGTATTTTTTTTTTTTTTTGTTCCAAACGTCGACACCCCTAAAGGTCTGGACTCTTTCCCCAGGACCAGTTTTTCATCCAGAACCATTTTTTGGTCCCGAGGCCCGGTAAGGGCCCCCAGAGGCCAAAAATAACGAAAAACCTCCCGTCGTGATTTTTCTACAACGCGAGGGGGTCTGGAAAGGCAGCGGCGCCGCGCCCGAGGCGCACGTGCGACGGGGGCGCGAGGCACCGAACAGCTCGTGCTTCTCGAGCGGCACGTCGGCCTGCCCAGGCTCTCCGTGTCTTCGGAGGAGGAGGAGGAGGGAGGAGGGAGGACGGGGAGGAGGGAGAGGGAGGAGGAGGAGGGAGGTGAGGGAGGAGGGAGGAGGGAGGAAGTGTAGGAGGCGAGGATGGGGAGGAGGGAGGAGGGAGGAGGGAGGATGGGAGGAGGGAGGAGCGAGGAGGAGGAGGAGGAAGAGGAGGAGGAGGAGGAGGAGGCGGGAGGAGGAGGAGGGAGCGAGGAGGAGGAGGAGAGGAGGAGGAGGAGGAGGAGGAGGAGGAGGAGGAGGAGGAGGAGGAGGAGGAGAGGAGGAGGAGGAGGCGGAGGAGGCGGAGGAGGGGAGGACGAGGAGGAGGAGGAGGAGGAGGAGGAGGAGGCGGAGGAGGAGGAGGGGAGGAGGAGGTAGGAGGAGGGAGGAGGAGGAAGGAGGAGGAGGAGGAGGAGGAGGAGGAGGAGTAGGAGGAGGGAGGTGGTCTGGGGGGGAGGAGGCGGGAGGAGGAGGAGGTAGGGGAGGTAGGCAGGAGGAGGAGGAGGAGGAGGAGGAGAGGAGGAAGGATGAGGAAGGAGAGGAGGAGGAGGAGGAGGAGGAGGAGGAGGAGGAGAAGAGGAGAGGAGGAGGAGGAGGAGGAGGAGGAGGAGGAGGTAGGAGGAGGAGGAGGAGTGAGAGGAAGGAGGAGGAGGAGGAGGAGGAGAGGAGGAGGAGGAGGAGGAGGAGGAGGAGGAGGAGGAGGAGGAGGAGGAGGAGTGAGGAGGCGGAGGAGGAGGGGGAGGAGGAGGAGGAGGAGGAGGAGGGGGAGGAGGAGGAGGCAGGGGGAGGAGGAGGAGGGAGGAGGAGTGAGGAGGAGGGAGGAGAGGAGGAGGCGGAGGAGGAGGAGGAGGAGGAGGAGGAGGGAGAGGAGTAGGAGGTGGAGGAGGAGGAGGAGGGAGGAGGAGGAGGGAGGAGGAGGGGAGGGAGGAGGAGGTGGAGGAGGAGGAGGAGGAGAGAGGCCGGTGAGGCGGAGGAGGAGGAGTAGTGAGGAGGAGGAGGGAAGAGGAGGAGGAGGAGGCGGAGGAGGCGGAGGAGGAGGAGGAGGAGGAGGAGGAGGAGGAGGAGGAGGAGGAGCACACGTCGCCTTGAGAGGGCGTGCTCGCTCGTTATATGTTGAGATCGGCGCGGGATTCGCTACGAGTCTGAGAGAACACCGCGTCAGATGTCACCGTCGCGCCTCCCAGGCGGGGGCGGAGCTTGTGGTATATGTGATGGGACAAAACAAGGGCTCTATGAGCCCGCACCCAGCGGACCTCCCCCATTCATCGTAGTCCCCGAGGTCCCCCAACCCCGAACGCAACAGAAGCTCAGGAGGGGGAGGAGGTCCAAGGGGGTCGGTGGCAGCCCAGAGCCGAGGACGCAGTACGTAATGTACCTGGGCATCTGGCTGATCAGCACAGCCGAAGTTGCATGGAGACTGCGGCAGTTTCTTTACCCTGTCGCTCGTGATCCACGCGCCCGCCAAGGACTTCACGTGAGGCCAAGCATGGGAGCGCGGCGCACCACGGGCCGGGAGGCGTTTCAATCGGCACCATTGCGGAAGAAGAATGTGAACAGGGAGCGGGAGGAGATCATGACATAGAGTTCGGATTCGCTGAGCAATAAGGGCAAGCATCCCGTCGGGCGCGGTCTGAGTGCGCAACGAGGCGGAAACTATTGCCTGCCAGCATGGTGCCTTTCGCCAATTCGCACGAGACACTTGTGTGGCAATCGCCATTTGGTGAGTTCGCTGGATGACGGGGGGGGAGAGGAAGAAGTGAGAGCAGGCCGCGTTCGAGGGTGGATCAGAGTAGGGAATAAAGGGAGCTGCGTACCTCTGAGCAATGCGTGTTTGACTGCGCCAGCACGATGCGCATTACTTGCCTGCGATGGCGCGCTTGGCAAGTGCTTCGGCCCATGCTCGAAACTGAAGATTGGTCCACACTTCCCCCCCGCCGCCTCAAGGTCCGACCCGCCGCCCTCCAAAGAACAACGAGGTTCATGATGCGTAACGGCTCGGGTGCCTACAACCGTGTTAACGGGTGCAATTCTGGTAGTGCGAGACTGGATGGCGGGAGTTGTAATATATTGTGCAGGGCCAGCCGCTCTTTCTGGAGGAGAGTGGAAAGGGGGGGGGGGGGAACAGCTCACTCACATAGGTAGGAGAGACCGGGGATAATCAGGGTGCTATAAAGCCGAAGGCAAGCATCGGTGGGAGCTCGGGTGGCTGCGGCTGCTCGTCCACGCGACCACCACTTCTGGCCGCTGGAGAGAAACTGGTCTTCGTCCGGAGTCTAAGTGGCGACGTGAGTTGCAGATCAACAAATCCGCCCAGCTCGGGACCAAAACGCGGATCTTTTCCCGCGAGGTGTCTTGCTCCCCTGGGTCCAAACTGGCCCGAGCGGGAACCGGCGAACATTTCTTAGGTTGGCGGTCTAGCTGTGTCAGCTCCGCCGCTGCTCGGAACGGAAGCTCGATGCGTGGGCAACGAGAGAGGGGCGGAGTGGCCCCAATACCGCCAGCACACGTACCTGCAGCAACAATGAAAGCAGGAGAGGGGAGGACACTATCGGTTCGGGCCTCCGCCAATCCGCGGGGGGGGGGGCGGACGGCGCAATGGACCTGGCGGCAGCCTCGCACTCCGTAGCTAAATGTCGAACCAGCGGGTCCATCCCGAGGGCCCATGGAGACCCAGGTAGTGGGCAGCCCTGAGGGCTCCGCGGGCGACCCCAAAAAGTCGGACCCGCTGGGGGCCCACGTTCAGAAAACCCTCGGATCCTTCTGATAGCGCTCACGTTGCATTGAGGTTGCCCAATGGCAAACCGACGCGCCCCAGAGCTGCTCTGGCCACTGTTGCGACATTCCCGGAAAAGCTGCCGTAAAATCGGAAGAGATAATGCATGGGCGCCTCTCTCTGGCATGCTCTCCAATGCTGTTTAAACGCGGCTCGGCATCCGGTCCTATGATATGGGCATCGAAAATTCGACCTGCAACGAAGCCTTACTGAGCAAGGTGGACACGGCCCCTATCTATTTTACCAAGATGGAGGTTGGCCGTCTGGGCTGGGGCCTTGCTGTCGGGGCTCTTCACATCCCATGGTCCAAGCGAGCCCGCGTCGCGCGCGTCGGGGAAGTCTAAGTGACCCCCTCCTTTGGGGATGAAAGAAAAGTTAAATTCTTTTTAACCGTCGACAAGGGCCCCGCCCGAAACTAACCGCAACATCGCACCGCGGAGGATATCAGCTGCAGCTGGCGCGGCTCTCCGCGCCCCGTGGGGCAACCGATCGGGGCCAGGGGGGGGGGGGGGGGCTTGCCGCGCCTGGGAGCTCTGGCAAAGGTCCCCAGGAGTCTGGGGGGGGAGGTCGGCGGGGGGGAAGTGGCGGGGGGCGGGGGTCAAGGCAGCCAGAAATGGCTTGGTCACTGCAGCTGGCCTCCGCGAAGGCAGTTTCCCAGTGCGAGCGGGTCGCGTCGGCCATGTCATTGGGGTCGCGGATGATGGGGCCATCGGCCGGCCGCGCGTGCTTGATGTCGTTCAGGGCCAGCCGACGCTGCCGCGTGCTTGCCATCTGGATCTCGACGTGCTCTGGCACACCAGCGGGGGGGGCGTCTCCCCGCGGGGCGCAGCGACGACGTCCAGCCTCTCGAGCCGCTTGCTGCCGTCTGAGGTCGAAGCGGCGTTTGTCGTTGTCCATCGTGCAGTTGCGAAAGGCCTCCGAGTCTGTGACGTGTGCAGCGCCGCCTGCTGAAATATCCAAGAAGCGCCATGCCGGGGCAGGCGGCGCTCGAAGCCTATGAGCCAACCGCGCATCTTGTCGCCGTGCTGCCCGAGCAGCCGCTCGAGGAGTCATGCGCGCTGTCCGATGGTGCCCGCGCCCTCGTCGGGTCGCCCTACAGGTCGGGCGCCGTCGCCGGGGGGGTCGCGTTGGAGTTCATCTCTAGTTGGCGCCACCGCCATGCGCATTAGCTCCTGCATCGGCCCCCGTCGCCCGTCCATCGACATCGAGGAGAGGTCGGCGCCATGGGCGCAATTATGTCGGGTCTTCTTGAAGCCGGCATCGTGGAAGATGTGGCTCGGCGTGCTCTGAATCTCCGCTGCGTTCGGGTTTCGGATGAAGGGCAATGAATGCATCGTGAGAGGTCGGAGAGGGAGCAGCCGCTCAGCTTCTCAGCCTCTTGGGGTACGTTGATCGGGGCATCGCGCTCCGTAGCGAAGTGGGTGCTCAAGGAAATAAAGAAACGGTCGATCGTGCTCAGTGACTGCGAGGATCTGTCGACACGTGTCAGTAACGGACTCTCGATCTCAAGCGTGTCAATGTCGAAGAGGCTTCACCAAAAAGGCTCGCATAGACTCGCGCGACCGTCTTGAAACCTACGAGCCTGTCCCTTTCTGGGGAAGAGCAAAGACTGATTCGAGACGTTGCTCAAGTTGAAGTCACCAACACAGATGGCCACTCTTGCCAAGTCATTTTGTCGACCCCATTCCAGCTTGCGAAGCCACTGCTGCCGCATGGTGCCACGAGCCCGATCGTCAATACCAACATTGGGATGTTTGATGGTCCGGGCAGCATGGCCGTCTGAACTAGTAACCTCCAGCACGTGAACACGGCCAGGGACGATGACGGTATGCACGAACTGTGGGACGTCGGTCATAAGTAAATTCTGAACAAGGTGCGGGGCGTGCCATGGGACAATGATTGCAACCCCTCCTGTGCGATGATCGATGTCATCAGCCTGCCCACTAAGTGCGACAGGGAAACCCGAGCAAAATAACTTGTAGTGGATAGGAAGCTGGTCCAGGAGCGAGGAAGGCATAATCTTCTTGCAGGAGAGCCAGGTGGCGCTGCAACAGGAGGTGCTTCAGTTTGTCAAACTTATGGCGCCTACGTCTGTGGTTTCAACAGCATAGCTCACGAGCGTTCCAGGGAACGACGCGAAGGCCACGCTGACAGGTCTTGCTGATCTCCCACGGCTGAAAGCGTATGCAAGGATAGCGTCCATGCTGCAGTGTCCACACCCTGGAGCTGTTGCCTGAAATGCGCGCTGATGCCCTGGAAGTCAATGTTGTACTCAGCCACTGCGTGCGGAGACCAGGCCAAACGTGTGGGTTCGTCGGCACCCATTGGTGTGACCTCGACCACGGGGACAGGTTTCAATGCTGATGATGCCCTTCGCGCGTAAGGAACGCCAATTGTGGTCCAGATATGTGCGCTGTAAGATGCCGGGGGGCCTTGCACCTTACACTTCCCGGCGCACTTGCTTGGGGCTCTTGTCGGGGTTGATGAAGATAGCGTCCGGCGAGCCCGTGACAAATTTCGCAAAGAAGCCCCGCCATCCCTCCCCCGGGTAGCCGTAGGTACTGGGCCAGACGAACAATGCGGGCCACCCCAGCAGCAGCACCAGGGAGGTGAAGATAAAACAGCTTGCCTGGAGAGACGCCCTGCAACGTGTAGTGCGTGCCCTCGAGGCCGGAATCGTCGACCTCCTCCACTGCCGCGGGTTGGGCACAGCCGACACGGGAGACACTCGGATCGGGGGCTCCATCATGGCCAGCTTGCTGAGGTCGCTGGCGTTGTCATGAGCGGCCCGGGCTTGAGCAAGTGAGCGTTGCACTGCGTCCAGGTCTTCACGGAACGCACGTTGGCCCTGGGCCATGCCGTCCGTCTTGTCCTAGAGGTTCCTGATGTCAACGTCATGGCCGTCGAGCCTCGCGACCTGGGGGCGTAGGAGCTCGACCACTGTCTGCCGCATGTTGTCGTGTGCCGTGCCCATGATGGAGTTGACCTCCGAGCGCATCTCCCCCAGATGCTGTTGAAAGGCGGCCGTGACTGCATCCTCGACGCCCTCCACCGAAGACTGAGGGAGAGGAGGCCGACGATCACGCCAAGGGTCACCTGCACCTTGCAGAGGGTCATGTCGGACGCGTTGTGCTTCTGCACGCGGCGGAAGGCATTCTTGATCGGGAACAGCAAGGGAGTCGATGACGTTACCGAGTCGATCTCGACTCTTACGAGAAGCGTCTGCGGGTGAAGTAGCAGCTCCAAGGCCGAGGTGAGGGCCCCGATCGCGATCATGGTCATGAGGCATGCGAGGAGCTGCCTGCGCTGTCGGCACGCGTGGTGCTCGCACTGGAGCGCGAGGAGGAGCGGCCACGATGTCGATCCCGTCGGCGATCGTCCCGTCGGTCTTGGCGTAGGAGGAGGAGGAGGAGGAGGAGGAGGAGGAGGAGGAGGAGGAGGAGCAGGAGCAGGAAGAGGAGGAGGAGGAGGAGGAGGAGGAGGAGGAGGAGGAGGAGGAGGAGGAAGAGGATGAGGAGGAAGAGGATGAGGACGGGCAGGGGGGCCAGGCCTCCGCTCCTCCGCTCGCCGTCGCTGCTGGCGGAAGCGGCGGTCGTCTGGGCGCCCTCCCGTCGCCCGAGGCGGGCGAGCCGTGCCCTCAGCTCGTCCTCCTAGGGCCATGGTCCTCCTCTTGGCGCGCAGTTGGGATTACGCCTATATACGCTGAGTGCTCCGCGCTCAGCGTGCATCCTGCGTGGTTGGTGCTCAGCGTGTAGATCGGAGGGCCGTTGCAGCCGACCCTGCTCAGTGTGTAAGCCATGGGTGGGGGACGAAAGGGTAGGATAGCAAAGGGCGGGGTAGAGGAGCGGCTCACGTAGCTGAACCTCCTGGCGCCTGGAAGCGCCGAAACCTACCGCATGCAGCAGACCCAGACTCCCGACGACGTGTTTTTTTCGCAACGTCGACCCCCCTTCCCCAGGACCAATTTTTCACCCTGGGTCGTTCTTCGACGGTCCCGAGGCCCGGTAGGGGCCCCCGGAGGCCGAACATAGCGACCCCCTCCGAAAGACACGCGAGGGGGGTTTGGGCCCGCCCCCTTTCCCTATCCTACCCTGCCGCCCAGAAGCCAAGACCAGGACAACATCGGAACGGGACAACCCTCGACGCCCGCACGCCTCGCCGCGGCGCCGCTCCCGCGCGCGGCGCCCCCGCGCTGAGGGCGCCCCCGCCCGCGCCCTCGCCTCCGAGAGCGGCGGGCGCCGTGGGCTGCGGCGCCGCGGCGTCCTCCTCCCCTGAGATCCTGGCGCTGCAACCCCAGACGTGCTCACGTCATAAACAGAACTGGGGGCGGGAAGTTTTTCGCTACTTTCGGCCTCGGGGGGCCCTCGCCGGGCCTCGGGGCCGTCAAAAGACGGCTCAGGATGAAAAGTCGGCCCCGGGGAAGGGGGCGGGACTTCCAGGGGCCCCATATCGAAAACATCGGGACGTTGCGTGTCTGGGATCTTTTCACAACCGGGCGCGTTCGCTGTTTTTTGATCGGGCCCTGGGACCCTCACAGATCGATCCAGCTCGAAGAATTATGCGGGGGAGGAGGAAGAGGAGG